GAAGTCTTATGTATGCTATGCATTGCACAAGACCAGATATTGCATATGTAGTTGGCATATTGTGTCGATTCACTAGTAATCCAGGTAAAGAACATTGGAATGCGGTTTCAAGAGTTCTAAGATACTTGAAAGGAACTATTGATTATGGATTACGTTATCAAGGGTTTCCTGCTGTACTTGAAGGATATAGCGATGCAAGTTGGAACAACATAGCATCGAATTCTAAATACAACATTGGAATGCGGTTTCAAGAGTTCTAAGATACTTGAAAGGAACTATTGATTATGGATTACATTATCAAGGGTTTCCTGCTGTACTTGAAGGATATAGCGATGCAAGTTGGAATAACATAGAATCGAATTCTAAATCCACAACAGGCTGGATTTTTACTTTAGGAGGTGCAACTGTTTCCTGGTGTTCTAAGAAACAAACATGTGTCTCAGATTCGACTATGTTGGCAGAATTCATTGCTTTGGCTAATGCAAGTAAAGAAGCTGAATGGCTAAGAAATTTACTAATAGATATCCCATTGTGGGAGAAACCATCTCCAGCTGTGATGATCTATTGTGATAGTAAAGCTACTTTGTATTCGGTAGCGAACAAGACTTACAATGGTAAGCAACGACATCTTAGTCTTCGACATCAGTCTCTTCGAGGATTACTTAAGCAAGGAGTAATCACCGTTGAATATGTAGAGTCTAAGAATAACCTAGCAGATCCTTTGACAAAAGGACTGACTAGAGAGATGATTGCGAAAACATCGAAAGGAATGGGATTGAGGTCTACGTAACTTCAGTTAGCTTTAATGGGAACCCTACTGATGTTTTGAAATATAAACAAAGTTCAAAAGGTACAAATAAGTTAAACTCTAACTTAGACGAGACACTAGAGTATTAGTTAAAACCCATTCATAAAAAACTCTAGTGTATGTATTCTGCATGGTAGAGGCTGGATTTAATTCCTTAATAAGTTCTATTGAGAGAGAAAGTAACTCGCAGAANTGTTGATAATTAGAGAGAAAGGCAGCTTTGAGGACAGGCCATTATCTATCCTCATAATCAGCAGTCTCTCCCTGATAACTCATGCTGCTTTTGTTTCAACTCACCTGCTAGTTATTAGGTTACGTACCCCTCGCTATCACATAATTCCAGATACATGCCTCCCATATACTCTTAGTCCAGGTAATGCTTTGTCGAATGACACTGGATGATCGATCTAGTGTTCAACCTAATCTACTACATTACAATGAGTTGGTTACAAATTTTTCACCATATGCTTCGGCTAGCCTCTTTCTGGGTTTTAATAAAACTTTAGTTGATACCTAGTCAACCTAATCTACTGCATTAGAGTGAGTTGTTTTATATTTTTATAAATCTATTGCCAAAAACTCTAAGTTCAGTGTTGGTTAAATTGTGCCCGTGTTGAACAATATTTATGGCTCCGCCCTACTTACCATCACGAGATTAGGTGATCTGGTTCAAGTAGAGGCCAAAGATTTTGGGGACTAAGTCGACAAAACAACTCAAAAGATAAACAAATATCATTAATTTTTTATGTTCTTTCCGAGTTCGAAGTGTCATTTTTACTACTCGAAAAAAGTAGTGATGTTTCAAAAAGGGAAATTGATGTAAATAGTATGAAAATTGTTCATCTTTTAGCAATCTTTTAACACTTTCGGCGTTTCCACCCCCATTAAGAAATAAACTTAAATAATTTATTTACTTTTTTCATTCTCATTTCTCTAGGCCCCATCATACATGAGGAATATGAAAGGATAGGAAAAAGAAAAGAATTTTTTTAAAAACAATTAAGAATGATATTTATGATGATCATTCTACATTCTAAAAGGGTTAAGAAATAGTCACCATGTAATATAGTTTCCATCTTGTTACTTTTGTAGCCTTAGTAGACAAGTTTAAGGCCCCGTTCGAGAGGGATTAAAAGCCAATTAAAATTAAAAATATGGTCGTTATTGGGTCCCACTTGTCTAATAAAAGTCAACAATAACAGCTATATTTTCAATTTTAATCCGATTTTAATCCCTCCCATACAGGCCAATGTTTGACCCCATTTTCTAAAACTCATTTTTAATCAAATATTTTATATTTTATGAAATTCACAAAATTTTCAATTTTTCGATATTTTATCAATTTCTATCAAAATTTAATAAAAATCTAATTTTTATATAAACCAAGTTGGAGCTAAATATAATCAAACTATGCCCTATTTGGTAATAATTAAAATCAAGATTTTAATCTAAGTTAAAGTCAACTTTTAATTTTAACCACGTATTTGAAGGGATTCATAACTTTTCAACCACATATATATATTTTTTTAATTTTTATCAAATTTACCAAAAATCTGACTTTAATCCCGGTGGTTATATTATTCTTCGACTATTATAATAACCATGGTAAAAATCAACTTTTTTCATGATTGTCATGATGATCACCATTACCCGTTATGGTTAGCATTATGTGGTGATTCTTAGTTGCGGGACCTTAATTCACTTGGTGGACTAACATATCCGTGACTGCAAACAAGTCCACAATTTAATGTTAATACCATTTACATAAAAAATGAGATTTGACAAAACAAAGAATATATGCATATAACTTTATTAAATTCTTAAAATTTTATAACATGGTACCGAAGTATGTATGACAATGACATATAGATAGCATTATTTTGAAATATACGTAGAATTTTGTCCACTATGTATTTTCAGTCTCTTATAATCGCGAGTAAGCAATGATATTTGAGAAAAATATTAAAACCTTATCCTACCACTATCAATACCATGGATCATATCCTAACTTAGCTAAAAATAGAGGAAAAATTACAACTAATGACTTGAATATATAGGAAATAGAGCAAGTAGATACACAACTTTTCTTTTAACATTTGAATTCCGAACTTTTCAGTATTGTAGCGTTTGAGTCCCCGATGAACAAAAAGAATTCGTTTCACTTAAAAATCAGGTTTCGTGTTGATCTCTGAATCTAAATGGGACTCAGTGTGCCAACACATCCTATCTCCACTCCCCTGCGTGCACATTACGTGTGCTGTTGGAACGTACTCGTTAAATGTGCAAGATTGAAGTATCTCCAAGCAAAGGCAGGGGAGGCCATAATTTTACGCACTTCAACGTTCAAGTCGATGAAACGAACAATAAAAGATATAGGATGGGGAGTACACAAATGGAGAAGAAAGGTAGGAGTCAGGGTTGGAGAATAACAAATTTTTATTACATTTAAATATCTCCAAGCGTGAGTATTTATAGACCAAGAAGATACTTGATTCTTTATGTTTGACATGTGATCCCATCTCAATGACTCATTGATCAAACTCAACCATTACACCATGTTGCATTCTAGGTATCACAAGTCTACGATCCTCAAACACAATCTAAGGCGGAAAAAGAGGGATTTGGCACCCAAATGCTCTTGTGGAGTTGCCACATCATTCACATTGTACATGGCTTTAAGTGTCAGACCACAACTAGCATAAAGCATCAAACTTCATACCCGAATCTAGAAACTTCAAAGTTCCATTCAATGGAGCTAAGGGTTGGTTCATGCTGATTACCTCAAATAGGAAAAGTGACAAGTCTGCTTAAAGTTAGATCACATCGAAAGTTGTTGTGGACGAGGCATTGAGCTGATTATCAACAACACTTTGAAAATAGAAAAGCAATCGATACGATGACAAAAGATCTAATCACCTCAGAGTACAAGTGCTTGCTTGCCATATTACTTAGCTAACAATCACACAAGCATTTTGCATAAAAAAAAATTATTATATTTTGCTTCTAAATAGATTGACGATAAAAGGGAGAACTCAATATATTATATTATTAGATAATAAACTAGCATAAAAATGAGACGGTGGGTGCTATAGACAGGATGAAGTTCTAGGGTTAGAAAATGGTGGTTGGAGAGTGTGAGAGTGATCGACAATTATAGGTTGGATTTTTCCATTTGTACCAAAAAAAACATCATAGAAATTCAATAGAAAACTCACATGGAGGTGGCCCCACATGAAATTAAATATTGCACAAAATGCTGGGCCCTCCTGTGTTGTGTGTGTTCAGACAGTTTTCTGTGTGCACGGTTTTCTGTTCACACAGCAAAACTATTGTAGGTTAGGGGATAGTAGTTGCTAGTGAGATTTTTGTGTTTTCTTTTATTTAAGATAAACTATGCTAGTTTTATAACATAAATTTTTTTTTTTTATGATGAATTGAATGTATTCTATTCATTCGAGATTTAAACACGAAAAACTAAAAAGTTGAGGCCCTAAAAGTTTTAAATCGAATATCGAAGGCCTACCATGCCCCATATTTGATTTTCTTAAAGATAATTTTCGATACTCTTCTTTTTTGTCAAACTATTGAAGTCGTCGTTTGGAAAATTTTCAAGAGGAAATTTCACAAAATGTCCACTTTTTTGTATCCATTAGCAAAAATGTCCACTATTGCAAAAATGTCCATTTTCAAAAAATTTAGACCAAAATATCCTTGTTAACAATTTATAATTCCACGTAAACACAAAAATATCCACTTTATCAAAAATTTTATTGGCCAATAAAATTTTGACACATAATCCTAACCTATTTATTTCAAAAGTATAATTGTCAAATCGCAATAAATGCAATTTTTCTCATTAACACAAAAATGTCAAGAACGATATTTCAAATGTAGAGAAATGTCATGTTCATAATGAAATGTCATTCTAGATATTTAATATGTCGAGAACAATATTTGAAATGTCGATAATATTTAATATTGTGATTTGACATATGTACTTTTGAAATATAAATAGGGTTCAAATGTCGAGAATATCATTTGAATGTAATTTCTCATGATAGTTACTTCTCGAAGTTTGTGAAAATTTGAAAAATTTGTCACATTTTTCCATTAAGGACATAATGGACAATTTGATACAAAATTCAAAATATGACATTTTTCAATTCACACAAAAAAGTGGACATGTTTTAAAATGCCCCAATTTTCAATTACGAAATTTAAACCACGCCCAGAAAAGGCACTCGGCATTCTCCTCTCAATTTCTCAGGTATGTTTCACACCCAACAGCTTGGGAATCGATCAATATAAACAGGGAATTCTTCCCTAGATTGGATTTCTTTACTAACTTTGTTTCAATATTCACTTAATTTTACAGATTGATAAGCGAAGAATTGAGCTCTTGGCATTTCCCCTTCTTAAAGTGAGATTTCTCAAGTAAATTCAAAATGGGTCAGATCCAGTACTCGGATAAGTACTTTGATGATACCTATGAGTACAGGTACTTCAGTTTGCCTTCATTTTTCTTCTTACGTGTATGGAATCTGTATATATGTGTACATATTTTGCTGGGGCTTTGAAATTTTCAGGCACGTGGTTCTTCCGCCAGAAGTTGCCAAATTGCTTCCAAAGAATCGCCTTCTCTCTGAAGTAAGTTGTGCGTCTTGAGGAAAAATTTGCACTTCTGTATTACGATTATATTGTTACTAATTTGAATTAATCACTGTGGAAAAATAACAAAATTTATTAAACACCTTAAGCATATATAAAAATAAGAAAAGAGGAAATTCTAGGAAACACTGCGTTCATATACCTCATATCTAGAAATTTACAATCTCTGTATTGTTAGTTTATGTGAAGTAGCAAATAACATATTTTATTATATCTCCGTTAAAGAAAACTAGAAAAAGTTGCAAATGAATGTGCAGTAACAAATACTTAGTGATAGTGATGTCTAGAGCTTGTTTGGCTTGGCTATGCTTAATATTTAGTGATAACTTGTAAGTAACTTCTTTTGTCAAACATGTTTTAGCTAATGCAAAAGTTGCATTTTTTTTTTATTATTTGATTTCGTATTCAAATTATGAATTATGGACCCTTCTACTAGGGCCGCATATTGTGTCCAACATCTATCATGTAGAGTCAGAAACCAACACTTGAAGACATGTTTTCGACAAGTTGTTTCTTTTAAATATCCAATGCTCAAGGGATACTTTAAGGACATTCCTTGGGCAAGGGTCCGACATGCCTTGTTCTATTATTAAAAATATAAAAATAAAGATAAATGTCCGAGTTCGTGTCCTACTTTTTGAAAAAAACACTGGTTGGCATGTCCATGATGTTCTTAGAATTCAAAAACTTATGTTACTAAAAGCGTCTTTGTAGATAGAGACTTTACATTTTTTAAGCTTAGCCAAACATGCTTAGTTGTAGTTTGAGTTGAATTATTTATTGTTACTATAATTTTGTAACTTTATTAGTCGGTTGAGATGAATGATGATGATTTGTACTAATTTAAGTTGAATGGTTTTTGCAATTAGGGGTGCTTTGGTTTGTCTAAACCTTTTATAATGGCATTTCATCTTTTCTACTTTTCTATTTTGTTACTGCTCGTGAAACATCAATAGGAAAATTTAGTTTTCGTGTATATGCTGTATGAAGTGTAGTTACACCTTGTTATACAGGGTATTTTTTTAAGTTTTCGTAGTTTTTATTATTTGAAGAAACATTTCTGTTTTGTGACTTGGAAAAGAAAAGTAAGAAATGAAATGTAGTCCTAGTTTTTCATTTTGTTAATTGAAATATGATTTTTGCTTTGAGACTATGTCTGTGAAATCGGAGATAAGAATGAAATTGGAATTTTTCTATTTTGCATGATCTGTTTTAGTGAATTTAATCAGTAAAATATTGTAATGATACTTGGGAAGTTACTAAAATGATTAAATTAATATGCTTTGACAATTTTCTTCTGTTTTCTTGGAAAACTTACAAAGGCCACGTGCATAAAAGATTAATGATTCTATCATTTTCATCATGTTCTTAAAATTCTTGAGTTGGGAAGGAATTCTTTTCAACTTTTCTGGAAATTATGAAGTCTGGTTTCAAAACGGTTTGATTCTTTTAAATGGAGACTTGAGGAAATATAAAGTAAGATTCCTGTCATGGATGCTTTCTAAGTATTGTATTTTGGTTGGCTGTTAGAATGAATGGCGTGCAATTGGGGTTCAGCAGAGCCGAGGGTGGGTCCATTATGCAATTCACCGCCCAGAGCCTCACATCATGCTCTTCAGGAGGCCACTGAACTATCAGCAGCAGCAGGAAAACCAAGCTGGGCAAAACATGGTTGCCAAGGGATGATTCCTTGCTCTGGTTTTCCACCTTTCTGACGCTTGATTACATATTGTCGTTCTCGTTTCTGCTAGAATGAATCCACTCTATGATAAATACTCTGTGAAGAAATTTGTGTGCTGGGTGAATCTCACAAGTGTTTAGTGCTGTGATGTGGAGAATTTCCGTGTCAAACTTCTGTTTCAAAGACTTTGATGTCGAACTGGTACCTGAAATGCATTAGTAATATTTCGGATTCGCTGTTAAAGTCTTGTTCTTGGTTACTGTGTTGCTTTATCTCGCTTTGATATCTTTTGGTCCTCAACTTTCAGTTCTTAAATTGTTTTGGAGGCTGGAGCCAATATTTTGCATATTTATCTCATTCTCTTTAAGATTTCCATATTCTCAAGTGATGTTGAGAAAGATATTAGTGGTCCGAGACTCCGAAAATAATTAGTGATATCTTCTAGCGAGGGCAGGCATTTTCTGTCGTTTGAACTGTGGCTTTTAGATGACATAAAATGTGTGCAAATTTGTTTGTGCAATTCTTGTGATCGGTTTAATAGTGTTTGTAAGTTTTCTCCTTATATTTCTGATTTTTAGGATATTAAGATTGCATCAATGACAAATATTAGGTTTGCAATTCAAAATTTTCCTATTAGTAAATTTTTTCACGAGAGTTTCTGTTCAAACTTTTTGCGCAACACCCTGTTATTTAGATTTATGTTTTCTTATGTTCTTGGCATTGTTTCAAGATTGTTGTATATTCTAGCTTATTACTTTGTAGATTTGAGTCTAGGAAGATGGTTTAACTATAGCAGGTTTGCCAAATGTGATTGATTCATCTATGATGCCTCACTGGTTTACTAGCTTTTGAGATGTTCTTGAATGATTGATTGATCAATTTTTGTAAAAATAAAAGTTCTCGTGATTTCTATCTATGAGTTACTTAGAAATTGAAAAGTTGGATTATGAAATTGTGAAACATAATTTTTGAATTGGATCGAGACTTCCACACTCGAGTTCTCGATGACTTGACTTGGTGAAAGAAATATCAATGTCTTATGATACAATGATAAGAGTTGTGTAAGAATGTATTTGTTCTCTCAGAAAGTGCTAAAACTTGTCGTAATTTTGTGGATTATTTGTTCGTGTTACTGTTATTCTTTTCCATTGTATTATTGTTCTTTTTTTAAAAATATTTCATTTTCTATTACATGAATCCTAATACAAATGGCGGGAACTGATTCATGTGATCGACCTCAAATTTATACACGTTTAAATGTCTACACAAAATCATCAAACATTAAAAGTACAAGTTCACTATTAACTTTCAGATCCAGAAGTGTAAACCTGGTCGAGCTGACCAGGCAAGCAAGACATGGTCCAACCTGGCGTAGATCGTAGCCCAACCGGACCTGCTTTAAACCTAGTCATTCCCCATCTTCGTTTGCGAATTAATTACGGGAGTGTGCCCAACAAACAAGGCAACATGGCCCATGAGCTTATCTTTCCTAGAAAATGTCGTACCACAAGAGCATTGCCATTTAATCTCACCACAATGTTTCTCATGTGTGCGCAGATCAGACTGAATGGAAAACTGTTTCGTGTTGCAGCGTTTGCACACATAAATTTTCGGACAATGGCTCCTCTTGTAGTGATTCTTCACACAGATCATCGATTTCAATGGTTGAAACTTCTTATGGTTCTTGTTCCATCTGCAACCTTCTTGTGGACATGAATATTTTCTCGGAAAAACATTGTCAACTCGACTCGAATTCTGGTTGTTTTTTATGGGATTGCTCAAAGCATCCTTAGACTTGTATGCATCCCCATGAGTCCTCATGTGCATTCTCAAATTTGTATTCCTATTAAACCCTTTGCCACAAACTTGACAACAATGTGTATACTTTGCTAATAAATCTGCAACATCCAATTCGACGATATCACAATGCTTCGTCAAACGTAATTCCTCTTTACCAACTTCATTCTTAGAAGATGTACTACGATTGTCATAGTTTGTACTATACGAACCAAATGTGTCATTGGAATAGAAATCCTGCACTTTTAGGTTCGCCTGCATCAACGGACTATCAGTTGACTTAGTTCGTCCTGGATGCAACTCCTCTCCGTTAATGTCACCCAGGGGTGGTCCAACTGCCATTTGCTGGCATGTGAACATCATAGATGATGCAGTGACTACAATTTCTTGAAATAGGGTAACCATGGTGGTGATCCCGACTGGAGTCGATTCCGGTGGCTGGCTATGATGTGGGGATAACAAGAAGATGGTAGCCAGCGACTGTACCTGATGAACCTTTTCCTCAAGGATGGAAAGGTTCTTAAGGAAAGAACTTGTGTGTGTGTCTGAATTTGTCTCAACCATGTTGTCTTGATCTTGAGAAACACCATATATTGGCAAGATTTGTGGCTCATTTGGGTTATATGAATTGGCTTCTGTAATCATCTTGACAAAATTAAGCCAAATTCTCTATTTGATTCAAATTTCTTCAATTCCTGCAGTTTTACAAGCATGAATATGATTCATAAGGAAAGTACAACGAATTTGCTTGATAAATAGGCAAACTTTTAGCATTTTATATATGCAAGCCGTAAAAAGTATAAAAACATAAATTATTTTTTATCGATAAGTAGATAACTAAATATTAAAATTCTTCGTGAGATATGTCAAAATTAAATAATTTCTCGTCAAAAAAACAGTTCAAAATTGAACAATGTGTGTTATGTTCGATCTGATTTCCAAAATATTGATTACCGCATGGTCAAACATTAATTATATAAATTGAAAGAAAATGCATAAATATAATAAGAATTGTTAGTGTCGAATGTGTATATGGTTAAGTCAACTTTAAGCTTCAAATCATCACCACATAAAACCTCCCTCAAATGCCATCAACCCCACCCTTAAATACAAAGTACATCCATTTGCTTCTCTCTTTAATTTTCTATATATTTTCTTTCAAGTTGGCAATCTATTAATTTTAATTATTTCCCCTTTGTGGCGTCAACTATCATGCATAAATAGGGTTTAATTTTTCAAAATTCGAACATCCAACCTCAGCACAACATCAAAGGCGAGAAAATCAACTTGAGATATTTTAGTCAAAATTAGTGAGAAAACATATTCGATAATAACATAAAAATTGAATAGAACAATGTATTATCGTCAATGATTCTAACAACATACATATCGTGATTAGTGTTTTTACGAGACAAATTAACTGGAAAAATATCATTAATTTGCTTGCAATAGGAGGCATGTTTTGGAATGTGAAGTGGGATACGGTAGATTAGCAGTTAATTTGTCTGTTCTTGTTGCTCGATATAACAAGAACGTTAGGAACCGTTTGACATGACTGTTGAGAAATCAAATGCTTTTGAGAGTGAAAGCAAAAGTCATACCCAATGAGCCAATTAATTTGCCATTATGAAAGTGATTCTTCTAATTAGTAGAACTTTTAAAGAAAGTTGATTCAATGTGCTTTTTTTTAAAAACACTTTCGGAATAATCAACTCTTTTAAAAATTAGTTTTCAAACAAATATTAAAAAAGCTTCTGCTCTTTTACAAGAAGCAAAAGCAAAATTCATACACAACGAGCCCTTATAATTCACATAGAAAAGATTTGTTTCCTAAATATGTTGCTTTTCTTAGAACTAAAACAAAGTATAGGCAAATCAGTCATGGGGAATGTTTAAATTTTTTAACAAAAACTTTAACAGATTTTGACAAAAGTTGACGAAGTGTACGTGAAGAAAAGTTGATAAAAATTATTGATCCCATGAATATATGGTTCAAATTAATTATTGGTCTGATCTCAATTTTAGCAATTTTCGGGTATTTAGTAAATGGAACCGTTGGTTCCAAATATAATTTTGGAACCGTTCGGTTTCGCTTCGGTTCGATTCCGTACTATAATTAAATTTTTTAACATTTCAAATAATGCTACATAAATACACCTGAAAGTAGATACTAATATTAATAACAAAAAGTAGATACAAATACCAAATTCAATCTTAACTCTTACAAATTAACGTAATCTAATTTAATAACATATTAATAATAAGTTGTCAAATATAAATACCAAAAAGTAAATATTACTAATAAAACTTCGATAATTCATATCAATAATTCATTTGTTTTAAACATTTAAGTCTACATAAAAATGAAATATAAATTAGAAGTCATAAAGATAAAATATTTAAAAGTATTGATAATACTTACCAACTATTTAATGTAATCATCAGTTGTTTGACTTTTCATACTAATTACTAAGAAACTATACAAGAAAAAATTGAAAAAACACAACTAAAAAACATAAATAAACTCTAAATTGTTCAACTAATAAGATTTAATAAGAAAAAAA